GGTCCAGTAAAAAAGAAAACCCATCGGTTCCTCGCATGTTGGAACGAAAGAGCCCTAGATCCATAAATCATACCCACCCCCATCATCAGTCAGCAGGACAATGGGCAGGAGTCCTTCCGGAAACGAGGACAAGTGGTGTGCCACGCCCCCGATATGTTTGGTATGCGGCAGAAAGAAGTTGGTTCCACTGAGCCTGTCCATCAACGTTACCAACAACAAGGTTAAGCGCCCGGCATTCCTTCAGGACTTGTCAACTTCAAGTCCCAAGGACATCGCGCTGTTGTAGCAGATAATTGATTAAGGATATTGCAAAATCGGCTGACAATGAAGGAGCTTTCACCCGGTTTTCATTACTCCCAAGCCACATATTAGATCCAAGTTCAACATCGATTTGGGGACTAATGTGCGGTTCATTGAATCTAATTTCCTCGCAATTAAGCTTGTTTAGCTGGCGTTTAAGCAAAGCATGTATCGATTTGCTTTGAAAATCTAATCTATTCATAGTCTCGAGGCGTTGAAGCAGTTGCCATAAATTTGAACCCGAAAACAATTTCCCATTAATCGCGAGGTTTGGGCTTTTGGGAGGGGTTAGGGTGATGGCTTTCTCATTTTCATTTGTTTCCGGAAAATGGGTCAAAGTAATTGAACAAGGCTGGGCCAAGGGTTGCCATTGAAAAGATAAATTAGGAAAAGTGCCTGCCCTATGGGCTTAAAAGAAAATCTGGCCAAAAGCTCTCTCGCCTAATTAAAACGAAAGTGCAAAAAAATCAACTAGAATGCGGAGTATTTACATCAAAAAGAAATCAGCTTAAGCTTACAGCCGGTTACAAAAACATTGTTACAACTTTTCGTGCTTATCGGGTAAAATCCGATGAAAGCTACGTGCACAAGTGTTTTTTGATAAGATTTTTGTGCATTTTGTAATCATAATATATTATTTTCTATGCACACTAATGCTTATTATATAAATTTTCAACTATGTGTACTGAAGCTACACAGGTGTAGTTAAATTCTCCCTCATTGCCATGTCAGCAACTAATTAGCGGTCTTATATTCCAAAGCCAACCACAAAGCCGACACAAATCGAAAATACCAAAAGCCAAAAATTGACAGGGCTATTTCGTTGGACAACAAACAATAACAGCAATTACTAATTAGCAGAATTGGCTGCTATATAAATTAATTCAATTTTGACAACGGGCTAATGAGAACATTCTCGCATTCGAAACATAATGGATGCTGGCATTAAAGGGACAAATGTGAGCGGAAAAAAACGACAAGCAAATGCGTCAGTGTCATTGTCAGTTGGTGAGATATTATACAAGGACACAAAAGGACACGTACGGGTGCCATAATTTACCAGGAAGCAAAAGCCCATGAAATGGGCGCCAGTCCATAAATTATGCCACTTCCCCTGCCGAAATGGCACTGATACTCGATTCTCAGTTAACTGCTGGCCTTTAGACTTTAGCCAAAACTGACATAATTAATGACCAGGCTCCATCGTTTATTTATCCCATTTGTGTATTGTTTTCGTTCTGCGTAGTTGTTCTGCGAAATTGTTATGATATTAAAGCCACGTGCAGAGCTCAAATTCTAACAGATCCCAATTTAATTAAATCACTTCCAAAAGTCCAATATGCCCTGCAGCCTTGGTAACGATTTGTCGGATGTGAACGTGCACGATAACATGGTAGAAAGGACATTATAGAAAATACGAGACATGTTAACTTTTTCAATCTTTTTACACGCTTTAGGTTGTTCACGTTACTTACGCTCACTGGGCAGCCATACGTGAAAAATTCGGGTAAAGGACTTGTGGTCAGAACGAAATGAAGCTGATGTTGCCAAGCGACTGTAAAGTGAAGCTAGCCAACTGTGAGAAAACAAGAAACAAATTACGGAAAGATGAACCTATCAGCAGAAGAACCCTTTTATTCAGACCCGGAAAAACACAATGCCACGTGACTTTAATTATTTGTGCTGTTTTGCCGTATTTCCTTATATTTCAGGATGTTTGTAGTAACTTATAATACAGAAAATAAAGATTTAAAACAGGAAATACAGTCAAAATATACGTTTATTTTCTAAATAATTTGGATTAGCTTTAAAGTTAATAGTTTATACACGTATCTATTTCGATAGCAATAAATATAAAAGAGTCACGAGGACATTGCCAAATTGGGTAAGGGAAATTGACAGAGAGGATAAAAACTGGCACCAATCCAAACAGTAAAATGAAAATAGCAACTGACACTCGATGTCAACCTACTTTTTTTTTACTTATTTTGGATTTTTTCTTATTGTCATGCTTCTCTTTGTTGTTGCACTGGTGACCGTAGTAAACAGCAGGTGGAGGTGAAAGGGCGAACTCAAATAGGGTTTTCTCTTAGGATATTTATGGCCACAGGGTCCCGCAATCCGAAATGCTTTTTATAAACCGAATTTAAAATACGTTTAATTCGTTCTGTTTCGTTTTAGCCCCCTAGAATATCTTTTATCTTCAGCACTATAAATTTAAACCCACGATGGTGTAAAGTTTTTAGCTTAAGCATTATCTAAGCACCCTGTTTTTAACGGAAAAGGAAACAAATGTTGATGTTGCGAAATATTACCGATGGCACAGCCCTCGAGGCTTTTTGGCTGACAAAAAAGTTTCAAACTGCCAAAAAGTTGATTATTTGCTTCAAGGCGTTCGACTCGATTGGAAATTCTTTTCTGGTCTATCTGTCTCTAATTGAAGTGCGTCCATATAAGTTCTCAAACAATTTTTGGCTGTCTCTACTAACGGCTATCGGTGAAAAGTCAACAGCGGAAAGTATGCCACAATTTTGAGCTGCTCATAATTTCAAATGCAAATGAAATGCGCATAGCCAACATTTTGCGGTTTTTCTGGGGCTCCTTTTTCCGCCCACTTGAGCCGGCAAACGTGATGCTGTTGATACACTTAGGAATAGCTATTTAAATACAATTTTTCGCGTGCAAGTTATATTTGTTGGTGGTTAGTCTGAGCGGTGTATTTAACGTGGGCAAAGGGTAAGGAACAATCTGTTCGAATAAAATAGTGTTGGACCACTTTTTTCAGTGTGGAACCAACCGCAGCACACACAAGTAACACTGCTTCTCATCCGGCAGATACGTGTTCTACAGCTGCCACAATTACGAGAGCATTAACATGAGGTTTTGGAGAATGGGTGCCCCCAAAAGTATGCTCGCAATTTAGCCAGCTTGCAGTGGCTAGAGCCTGGGAAAAATACCTGAAATGCCACTACTGAAAGTTTTCCTCTTTTTGCATTCCACCTTTTGTCAGTACAAACTGCAGGCAACTACACTCCGAAAGGGCCCTCCATCATACGCTTTTCTAGTTGTTGGTTTTGCACCTCTCACTATAATAAAACAAGCGGGTATATTATATTTATGAATATGTAAATAGTGAAGGGCAGAACTTTAAGTTCTGCTTTAGCAGCGCAAGGACAAACAAGCATTTTTAATTTGCCGTTTAATTAATGCATTTTTAATACATTGAAAAAAAGTATTATTACCATATCAGGAGTTTCACAAAAAAAAACCTGAAAAAACCTCTCTCATTATTTCGTCAAGAAAAGAGGCTTACAATAAATCCAGATACATTTACTATAGCCGGGTATCATTTAGTCGAAAAACTCAAACTTTCCGCTGGCAGAGGCGCTCTGTGTAAAAGTAAAACGCTGTTGAGTTCATTAAAAATTTGACTCTCTCATTATTTCGTCAAGAAAAGAGGCTTACAATAAATCCAGATACATTTAGTATAACCGGGTATCATTTAGTCGAAAAACTCAAACTTTCCGCTGGCAGAGGCGCTCTGTGTAAAAGTAAAACGCTGTTGAGTTCATTAAAAATTTGACTAAGTGCGTTGTCATCGTCATCACGGATACCTCTGACCCTGCCTCCACATAAATGTGAACTGGTGCTCGGCATCCTGCACGTCCTTGCCAGAAGTTGTTTGTGTGTGTGTGCTTATATGTACATACATACATATATAAGCGTGGTTTTCGGTGAGGATATGCTACTGATGTGCGCTAGGCGCACTTAAACTTTGCCGCTTCGCATGTGTGTGTCTGTTTTTTTCGGTTTTTACGCTAACCGAAATTGGATTTCGTTGCTAAACGCAGACTGAATACTTGAACCGAAATTATGGGTAGATGATGGGCCCCAAAAGTCTGTTTTTGAGGCTCATGAAATATGCAGGCGGCATTGGATTATGTCTTGGCAATTAATGAATACTCGCAAGGAGATAGCACTAAAGGGAAATTTCTCTCTTAGTCGTTTCCATTTAAAATAAATCTGAAGATTTAAATACTGTGCCAATCATTTTTGTTAAGCTGCTGAAGCAGCTGAAATTAATTTTGAAGCTTTAAATATTAAAATAAACTAAGCGTCATGAATTCATTTGTGTAGTGAATACATCGGCATTTATTAAAACCATTTGACTTGTAGGTAACACATTATGCCAATAAGAATTACATTATGTCTTACATTGGTCACAAAAATGTAATAAAAACAAAAACCCAATTAATACGTAATCGGTTAAATAAAAATAAATAAAGACCTCCTTAACTCCTTCGCCCAAACACCAAAAAAACCTTCGTTAAAATTTAGCTTACACAAATATACGAGTCCCTCGAATTAAAAAAGCTCCAAAGACATCGAAAATTATTTTTAAAAACTCTTGAAGTGTGGAAATCTTGATAATTCTCTTCTCGAGAGCTCTTTGAAAAGTGCGGAAAACTCGCCTCTCTGTTATGAATAAGCGGCACAAAGAAGATGCGCGTGGGAAAATCAACGGTTTCCCTAGTGACAAAATCAATAGATAAAGGAAAATCCACGAAAACAGCTGTTTTAGACATTCAAAATGTAAACACGGAGAGAGACTAAAAATAGGACTCTCTCCCATTGAAGAGCAAGAATTATCCTGAAGAGAAGAGCTGGCATTTTACGTTTGCCAGAAATCCGATTCAGTTGTTCGCAGCTCTTCGGCGTCGGCGGCTCGTGGCACGGAAAAACGGTGAAACCGCGGAAAATTCAACATCGCCCGTCTACACACACACACACAGTCACAAGCGACAGTGTGTTCCATATGTGTAATCAAATCGTTCGGAGCCCCGCCGTTTATATATAGAAAATTTCAACGCACGCAGCTCTGAGGAAAACTAAGATACGAAAATAAATTACGAAAATCGTGGCCACTTTTCAAAGGCGCACCGAAAGAATAAAATTAATAGAATCGCGCTTTCGCGTTAATCGCAGTTATTATCGTAGTTATTATTCGCATTACGCATACGCCCCGTGTGCCGTTCGGCGTGTTTGTGTGCCTGTGCGCGGTGGAGAGCGAAAAGAAAAGCTCTGCTTGCGTCGCAGTCGACGCTGCGACTCCACCCTAAATTGTATATCAATTTTGAAGTGATATTTCGTGTTTCTCAAAGTGTACCGCCTGCCAGCTTGACCATAAACGGGGCCAAATGCCACGATATAGCCCCTAGGAACAATACCAGTGAGAATCGAATCGACAAAAAAAAACAAGGAAAATGCGAGAAAAATGTTTGGTTTATGCGAAAAGTTGATGACACATTTCGCTGTCATTTTGACCGCATTTTCTCTCTCCCAGCCGCTGTTGTTGTTGCTGATTTGCGGGCCGCATGGCGGCACCTTCCCCTCGACCTCCACCCCCTGGGGGGCGGAGGCCTCGGCGGCGGATGAAGCGTAAGTCTGTCATCTGCCACCCACACCCCGCAGGTGGAAATTGGTCAGCAGGATATTTACATTTAAGAGACACGCAAGGATTTTAATGTCGACAAAGGGAATGGGGGGGCGGAATTTTGAAAAGCAGTCAATTAGGGGGCGTGCCCGCCGCCCTCATCTCGTTGTCAACGTTGCTCGTTAATTTTTCGTACATTTTATGCTAATTTCGTTGCCTGTCGCGCGGCTTTTTATTCGTCTACACAATATTCCCTGTGGGCATAAAATGGGTCTTTTCGACTGGCGGCTATGAATAAGCTCTTATATTCACGCAATTGCGGGTGAATTCAAAGCAGTTCTTTAATTTTTTTGTATAAAACTTCAACGTAATTATAAAGCCCCTATTTATGCCTGATTTTGATGTTCTTTCAATCCATTACCGTAAATTTTTAATCCTCTTGAGTAATTTAGTTCTAAAAAAGTTTACCATTTGATCTGTTGAGTAAACAAATTTCCATATTCGTTGAAAGTAATTATTAAATTTAGTTTTCTATATATAAATTGTTTGTTTTTTTAACAAACAATTAAAGTTAAATGACAACTACTTTAAGTCCTAGTAACTAAACGAAACGAAGCTGAGAGGAGAACTCTATTTTATACAGTATTTGATTTTTGCTAGAGCCCAAAGCTTAAGTTGATTTAATTCCTGGTTTATTCAACAACATTTCTTTGAATCAGCTTAAGTCGCATTCAAGTGAAGAATATGCAAATGATTTGCTACATGTGAATATTAAGCTGTGCTGATAAGCTGTTAAAACAACCACTAACAATGATTCGTACTTAGTTTGGGTTTTACAAACACAGTCACTTAGGCGTTTGCATACATAAATTTTAGCTGGTTAAATCAGAAGAGTACACAAGATTCCAAGTTTTGAGATGCATATATGCATTGCATAGAAATGCGACGTATGATAATTGAAACCAATATTCATGCACACTTTCCGAATTTCACACCATATGAAAGATGGTTGGATGTAAAAATTAATTTAATTTTATTTTATTTATTTTATTTTATTTATTCCGTTATTCCGTATTTATTCCGTCATTTTTCGTTGCGTGTTTAAGCGTTTTGTCTCTGGTTTCGAACACTTTTATTTTACTTTGTGCGTCAGCATTTTTACTCATTCTGGCTCTCTAGACTTTTCTCCCCCTCATATTAGTATTTTCCTTGCTCGAGGGTCGCAATTCTTGTTGTGTACCCCAAGTTTTTATTAAGTCACATGAAAATTATATTTCTGACATGCTGCCTTTTAGGAATGAAGTGAAAAGGTAGAATCACTGATGCCTATTTACGCTAAATGAATATTTTATCGGACATTTTGTTTGAGGCCACAAAACAAACGGCCAAAAGACATACAATTAATTAAAGTAAACATGGGAGCTAGGGAAATAAAAATCTGTTCTCTTTTGTTTGCAAACGATTGCTGAAAGCTTAGGGCCCTCATGATTAATACTTTTCAAATGAATTCAAAATTAGATTCAGTGATGGAAAGTGAAAAGTAATATATGTATAATAGAATATACACCGTTTATATATCATTTTGAAAAACAAAACATATGAAAAGTATAGTTATTTACCGTATTATACAATCTATTGCAGAAATACGCAAGCGAATCTAAATGATAAATAAAAAGTTTAGCAGGCCACACAAATTATAATAAAGTAAATGTCCAATTAGCGACTACAACAGGGATAGATAAATAATCAAATATTAAACACCAAAAATGCCGTAATAAAATATCCCCAACCAAATTAGCTCTACTAAATAGCCACAAAATTGCGGCATGTAAAAGAGCAGAGAACGAAAATCATTTAATGTCCGTTCGCATTACTAAGAATATTTAATGGGAAATGGGGATTTTTGGCGCATTGCAGCCGCAATAAAAATTCAATCTTAAATAGAAAATATTTGTTCAAAGAGAGTTGGGCAAGCCCAATGAAATATGCTCGTATAAAATGTTTCCAGAAATTTTCATGTGGTGACGAGATTTAATTTTCGGCAGTGATGCCTTGAGCTCTGTAAGTGATACATTTTTCCCGAGTGCTAATGGTTTTCCGCATTTTCCGTGGTCATAGCTAACAAGGGCCATCTAAAACAATGACAAACGAGATACGACAAAGCAATATGGGCAAATTAATTGAACAACTCCAGAACGCAATAAAAGCCAGAGAGGCATCGTTCATTTTCAACTAGCAACCAGCGGCAAAAACAATTTTACCGAGCGCCGACCGGGCCAAAACACTTGAGAGTGTGCGGGTAATATTTAGGGGCACATCGGGGGCATATATCGGGGTGCTTCGGGGCTGGCGGAATAACTGTGTCAAAGGCAACGTCGGCGACAGAAGTGAAATGAAAATGGCCGAAACAGCGCCGCCGGCAGCGTCGGCGACATCAAAAGCCACGTCAAGAGATTTCCCGCACTGAAAAGAGCTAAAGAGCGGCAGGGAAATAGTGCGGTCATGCGCAGGCACAAGCACAGAATGCCTTTAAATGTTTATAGTTAATGGCAAACTCTCACGCGAACGGTTGTCAGGCAAATGCATCTGGCTAAATCAATTATTTACACATTTTCTAATATACACTAACACCCACTAACTCCTCTAAAAAGTCATATAAAAACGGTTGAAATTGTATTTATATTACCCCTAATAGCTTACTTTATAGGTATGGGTTATAAAATGGGTCTCTATTGATAAATTTCAAGTTAATGCCAAATACCTTAACATTTTGCGACTGAAATGTACATCTACTGATTGCCAAACGGAAAACCAAATTAAATTAATTATGATTATTATTAGTTGTCTCCAAGAGCGGATCTTAGTATTCTAAACTAACTAATAATTATGGAGGCACATATTATTGTTTAATTATTTCAAGTTCTTACGTTCGAACTACCATCTATAGTGCACATCACACAGAATAACTAAACACCCAAGCCTTCGCAATCTATAGCTTAATTAGTTTTTGCTATTCGAATGCATTAACTAATGGAATCGGCCCGAAAACATCCTACATTCTGAAGAGAAAGCACGTCTTTTAAGAGAAAAGGAAAAGAGAGCAGCGGTGCGCGCGCAGGCACTTGTTGATTTCTCAGCTTGGAACAGCTGCTAGTGGTGAAACGCCGACTGCGCTGCCAGGAAGACGGCGTTGTCACCACATTGTGGCCAGGTGTGCGCCGCAAGGAAGGTGCGAACACCACCCACAAGCCACCCCACGCCCCAACACCACACTGGCAAACATGTGCGCTAATTGAATTAGTGGAACTCGGACAGGTGGTTGGCACCTAGCTGGCGCAGTTCTGACATCGGAACAGTGTTGTTTACTGTTTTGGACTTCGTGGGGATATAACTTTCAAAAGATTTTAATTGGATTGCATGTTTGGCTGCAAAAAAATTGCAAAGGGAAAAATTTCGTAAAGGGATGACCCCACCAATTAAGTAAAAATATGGGCCTTACAATTTCAATGACTCATTACTATTATTATTTTTATAAAGTTAAAATATATTAATTCCCACAAAAAAGTTGACATCACATAAATACGAACAAAATATTCTAGAATATACCAATACAATATGTACTTAAAGCTAAAAAATATTGCATTTAAAATGCTTCCGATACGATATAATCTCACCCTTTAAACCATTTCTGCTTATAATTAATTGTAAGAAAATAAATATTTTAATTTACTTACCAAGTGTTCCGTTCATTGCAGCGTCGGCAAGTGGGCCACCCAGTTTGGCGACGAGCTGTTTGCGCTGGCGCAGAAGATCACCAAGTCGCAGGAGATCAAGGAGAAGTACAAGGAGTACAATGCCCGTGTGGAGCTGAAAAATGGCACCGAGCTGATTAAGTCGATTACGAAGAATGTGGGCAAGATGCTGGCGAGGAAAATGGATGCGGTGCGATGCATCCAGGAGCGGGCGGAATACGTGAATGAGAACTTTGAGTTTAATCTCACTTATGCGCGGCTGAACTACACCTACATCTCTAGCAAGTTTTCGAAATTTAATGGAAATAGTTCCGAGGAGCTGGAACCGAATGAGGCTCAGAACGCCAGGATGTATAGGGATATGGAGTTGAATCCGGACACACACTTCTACAATACGCCAGTGGACACGGAACACAGTTCGGTGCACGTGCCATCGAATATATATGATCGATCGGAGCGTGTCCTTAAGACCATTATGTGGTCAGAGCATCTGGACGAGGTGTTTCGTCAGAACTACCAATCCGATCCGGCCTTATCTTGGCAGTACTTTGGCTCCGATACGGGAATACTGCGGCACTATCCCGCTGCCCAATGGACTGATACCAGAGCAAATCGGGATGATGCCGACACCTATGATTGCCGCAAGAGGTCTTGGTACATTGAGACGGCCACCTGCTCAAAGGACATTGTCATTCTGCTGGATCATTCGGGTTCGATGACGGGTTTCCGGCATCATGTGGCAAAGTTTACCATTCGCAGCATCCTAGACACTTTCTCCAACAATGACTTTTTCACCATCCTGCGGTACTCGAGTGAGGTAAACGACATAATACCCTGCTTCAATGGAGCCCTCGTCCAGGCGACACCCGAAAACATAGAGGTCTTCAACCAGCAGATCGAACTGTTGGACGACCCGGAAGGTTATGCTAATCTCACCTTGGCCTACGAGACGGCCTTCCAACTGCTGCGAAAATACTACGATAGTCGTCATTGTGCCACCAATTCCACCTGCAACCAGGCCATCATGTTGGTCACCGACGGAGTGGCTGGAAATACCACCGAAGTCTTTCAGAAGTACAACTGGGGCAACGGCGAAAATGGAACCTCACAGATGGACACCCGTGTGTTCACCTATCTGCTGGGCAAGGAGGTCACCAAGGTGCGCGAGATCCAGTGGATGGCCTGCCTTAATCGGGGCTACTACTCGCATGTCCAAACTTTGGATGAGGTCCACGAAGAGGTGCTGAAGTACGTCGATGTCATTGCCACGCCCTTGGTGCTACAGAACGAACAGCATCCGCCCACCTGGACACACGCATTCACCGACAAAACGGTTAGAATTTAAACTCATTAAATATTTAATATGGTTTCATAATACAAATTCTAAGTCCTTGGATTAGTTAGGATTTGGATCAATTCTTACACTTGTACACTTCAAACTTGAAATATGAATAGTATACGTTTCTATTTGATTTCATAACAACCTTTTTTAATTTGTGGATAATATAACGTGATAATATTGTATTTCCCCATACAGTACGATCCAAAAACTTCAAATGAGAAACGACCTCGACTAATGATTTCCGTGGGAGTGCCCGCCTTCGATCGCTTCTATCGCCACGCCAACCGCACCAATCCGAGGGCACGTTTGTTAGGAGTCGCTGGAACAGACGTGCCCGTGGAAGATATAGACAAGCTGACACTACCTTACAAGGTGGAGAGCAATGAGTTTGACCAAAATGTTTGATACTAATTGAAAAGTATTTTGCAGCTGGGTGTTAATGGCTACTCTTTCGTGGTGTCCAACAATGGATATGTTCTGCTGCATCCCGATCTACGACCCATTGGGGTAAGCTGAACCATATCAACCGGGGCATATGTATATGTATAATTTAATCATTTTGTAATGCCAGACCAATGGGAAGATGAATCCGAACTACAACAGCATCGACTTCACCGAAGTGGAACACCTGTTCGAGGACCAAAGTCCGCGGGAACCGGGCGAATCTATTCTACACATTCGCAATGCCATGGTGCGCCACGAAGCCAATGAGTTCAAGAGCATATCCGTCAAGTTTCACTATGACAAGATGCGCCGTGTTTCCGAGGAGAAGCAGGACTACTTCTTTGCTCCCCTGCCCAACACCCCATTCACCTTGGGCATCGTAATGCCCAGCGAATATGGCAAAACGTGGATCAAAGTTGGCGAGGAGGTGGAGAAAAATAAGCACATGAAGATAAATATATCGGATTTCTTCGTCGGCGAAAACTGGAAAGTTCATCCGGATTGGTGGGTGTGAACCTAAAGCTTCCAAAAATATTAGTGCATTAAATATTTGATTAAATATGCAGGGTTTATTGCAAATACCACTATCTGGAGGGTCATGAGTTTAAAACACCTGAGGCGGAGTTACGCGAGTTTCTGGGCAAGATGCAGCACGATTTTAAATGGCCAGAGCAATATGCGGAAGATGAATCCGACTGGGACGACAAAGATGATCGTAAGTGTGCTAATTAATTTGCTAATTTTTTTTGAGAAAAAAAATTACTACGAACCAAGATAAATACTTAAAGTGACTTAAAAATGGCTGTTGATTTCAGTGAACTGTGGCCGCAAAACGCTCGATGATGATGCCTACTATTGCAACAAGGAGCTAGTGAACCTGCTCATCTTCGATGCCAAGGTAACGAATTCCAGCTACGGGGTTTGGCGATTTGAGAGCGATGAGGAAAGGCAGTTGATAAAGCGTTTCGGTGCTGATCTGCGATTTGTGGCCACCATGAGTGGCCTGACCCGCTGGCAGTTTATCTTCGGAGAGGTTGAGGTGGACACGGATCGGGAATTCGGCGACTACCACACCACGGCCATCGATGAGACCTGGTACAAGAGTGCCATCCTGCAGCACCACGAGGATCGATCGGAGAGCTTCGTCTTTTCGGTGAAGTACTACGATGATCCAATGGAGGACAGCGAGGTCAAGGTCACCGCCTCGCATGCGATCTTTCCGAGGGATGGTGGCAAGGAGGCTCCTGCCTGCGTAGTGGGCTTCCAGTTTTCGCACGCCCGGATGTGGGAGCGCTTCTTCACCATCACCGCAGTGGATCATGTAAGTCGATACAAATGAAATCTGCATATTAAATTACCTAAAATTACTTCCGAATTTATAGTGCAACCACTGCTTGCCCATCTGCACTGATGACGACGTGGATTGCGTGGTGATTGACAATAATGCGTACATCGTGATTGGACAGAATATCAATACCACAGGCAAGTTCTTTGGCGAGTTCCACGGCGATGTTATGACTGCGATGGTGGAAAGGGGCATCTTCCTCAGCATAGAGGTCTACGATTACCAGGAGCAATGCAAGGAGGAGCCAAAGGCGGGTAGCGATGGCCACGGCCTGCTGCATGTAAGTCCCAAACATTTTCGTTTAGTCATATATCTCATATATATATTTCTTCACCAGCCCCTTCGACTGTTAAGTTTCGGCTGGAAGTGGCTTGTGGGACGACTCTTCTTTCAATATCAGAGAATTCAATGGTGGGCTGATGGAGCGCCGTGTAAGTAAGAACGATATTCCGTATATCCTACAATCTCAATTGATCCTTTTTTCAGTTATGGAGTATACAGATGAGATTGAAGACGAGTACGTAGCCGTGGGTGATGGTGGAAAGTCTTCGGCTTCTAAGCCAAAAGATGATAGTGACGATGAAAACGCCATGTTTGATGAGCCCGAACCCGATCCCATCTATAAGGCGTGTGACAAGCGATCCACTCTTTATGCACTGCAGCCATCTGCCCTTGTGGGCATCAATGACTTTGTGGAGGCGCCTTCTACTCGACCCTTCTTGGTCAAGAAGATCCCGAACTCCAATCTGGTGCTGGTGGTGGTCAATGTCCTGATGCCGTCCCGTAGCGTTCGCCTGAGCACCGAACCCCAGCGGATGGAATACGATAAAGAATTCCCCTGCTATAAGCTCAACATGAGCTTCTACGAACGGCGGCGCATCGAAGAGTGTTATACGGTACACGAAGATGTAAGTATTTGTATATCCGTACAGCATGGTTTACTAGATTCATTGCAACAGTTAGAATGAATTCCTGATCGGAAAATCTTGCCGATTCAATCTGGCCATGTCCGTCTGTCCGCATAAACGTCGAGATCTCGGGAACTATAAGAGTTAGATCGATTCTGCTCAACGCCCTCAAGCCGCCCAACTTTTTGTCTTATGATTACGATTAATAATGTTATTAATGTTATTAAGAAACTTTGTAATTAACTCGATTCATTTTTATTTAGGAGGAACTGTACACCTATTGCGGCAATGCCTCGCGGCTGGGTTTGACGCTTCAGCTAATGCCGCTGACCATAATTTTAGTGTTTCACCTGACGTACAGCTTTATGCGTTAGGTATAATGCACACAAAACTATATATTATACAACTATTATGTACTATACGCGACTACGATCGGTTTGTTGTTTATACATTAATATATAAATATATTTTTGGTTTTCTATAGATTGTAAACCATGCCATAGTCCAATACTTTGTCGGATGTTTAACAACAACGCGTAACAAAGAAAAACTGGCACAATCTTCGGTACTTAAACCACTATAAGCAAGAACAATTTCAACTTTTAGACTTACAAACTGCGCCAAAAATTATGAAACTGGGTCTTACTTTATTTTAAAAATGTAGTAAATGATGGAGGCCGCTGTAAACAGAGGAGACTACTTAAAGACCAACGATTTCACACGATGAGTTTCCCTGTTCCCAGCTGCTCCTTCAACAGTTTCTTAGAATCATAATGAATGCAATGTTTTATTATATACAATACATACCTAACGCCTAACGCCTATAGAAAAAAACCCACGTTTCAATGACTATTTTGATAGATTAATATGGTGCAACCAATGCCAAATATTAAATGAATAAATTAGCAAATATTAGTAAATGCGAACAAAAATAATTCGAATGACAATTATTTTTGTAATTTTATAAAACTTAGTTGATTTTTTACAACAATAAAAACGTATAAATATTATAATACACGTAAATAATGAAAATGCTAAAAAAAAAGAACACTTCCTTTTGTTAGGAATATTCACCATTTCTCAAAACGGAATAGAATAAATATGGTTTTCGTTTTTGAACACAGCCCAAAACGGTTTACAACAGATAATATTTAATGCTAATGCGGCAAACATTTTTCATATGTTTTCGTATTGCTTTGTAAAGTGTACTTTATTGAATATAATGTTTTTAAAACGGCAAGTTAACGCACAGATTTATAAAACCCAGTATAGGACCACCTTTAAAGTATGCAATACTTATTTAATAATGAGTTCGAAAACCCCATCTATAATTTACAGCACTCTTCAGGCCTTACACTAAGTCAAAAATCTTAAGCAAGATTTACAGAGAAGTTGGAAGGGGAAACCAAACCTTAAATGAATACCAAAACCTAATTGCCTTTGTATCGTATTTCGAATGTGGAAACAATTTATGAACTTTATGAATTTATGCCTAGAAACCTAAAACAAAATATGTAATATTATGATGAAGACAATTTAAATTAAGATTATTTTCAAGGAAATGAAATCAAAAGAAGACGGAGTTTTTAAAGGTGAGCTAAGATGATAAGCTGAAATGGAAAAATGAAATGAAAACAGTTAACTATTAAATGTAATTTTTAAAACAAACTGAATTACTAATACAATCTTTATTTTTTGGAGTGTTTAAACGTTGTAAAATGTATAAAAATATGACATAACGAAATCTAGTTATAATGGTATACGTGGATTTGCTGCAAGTTCATCATCAAGTTAATGTTCATCTCTATGAGTTATAGACTCTTTTAATCACATTTTATTAAATTTCGACACGTATACACAATGTATATGACATGTCCACTAAAAATAAGAAACGATAAACATTTTAAATTTCCTTAGCAAAATAAATGAACTAATCGTCGACAAATATTTATTTGTTCTTCAATTTGTATGGCTTTTAAAAAGGTAAGAGTATTTAGTATATAGCTTTATAATTGGAGCTAAGATTTAATATTTATAACTAAAGCAACTCTCTTGAATTACATACAGCCCTACTATCTTAGGCAATTGACTTTACACTTATATGTGAAAGAAATATTCGAGCAGAAAATCGGCAGAAAATTAATATAATTTAGTTATTAACGGTCCATGTTTGTTTGCTTTATATATCATCAGAAATTTTACGATTTGTTTACTCAATTGCCAGAGAAATTTAAACAATGTACTCTTTTTTTCTAAAAACTTTGTTGTTTTGTGTGATTTCAAAAATAATAAAAGCAAGCGTAAGGAAAAATGTGCAAATGCAAATTCGAACTTAATAAGTTCCTTTTCAGTTAAGTGAGAACGACACGCGAAATTTATATAGGCACGTACAACACAAATCATTTGCGAATCCATATACCAATGAAAGATATTATATATCGGATCAAGGAAACAAAACGAAATATATTTCTCCAAATCGACGTAAAAGGGTGTTTATACATCGTAATGAACAGCTTCCAATTGGTTATGATGAACAAGATCCACGAGTTCTTAAGGATCGAAATTATTTAGCATCCCTTATTCAAAAGAGGTACCCTGCGGAAAAGGATCCACGGAATCTCCGGCGACTTGAATTTTTACAGGAATATCCTGAGCCATCATCGGTTGAAGATCTTCAAGATATAAAATATGCATCACAACTAGAAGGAAGTCACGATTCAACCAAATATAATAATATCTTTTATCCAGAAAGATATGCAAATAATGAAGGCGTGCATAAGCAGGATGTAGAGTCACAAGGATTAGAAAATTTAAGTTCAGAAAAGAATTTACAAGATTCAAAAACACATTTTGAAAATTATCGTGCACCGCAATCACAGAATGTTCATTCGTTCCATGACAAATCCGAATCTTTTGTTAATAAGGAAGACTTGCAGTTTATGAAAGATTTATATAAGAACCTGCAGCTACAATATCGATCTGGATCTCGACCACAAAAAATCCACGAAAAGGCATCTAAACTGATCCTCCAGTGGGCGGAGAATCAGCGCATTTTATTAGATTCCTTTGTGAAGGTGATCACCGAAGTATTGACAGATCATGAATCAAATCTGAATACAAAAAGGAATATACCCCCTCGCGACATAATGCTTGTAAAGGATATGCTTATGCAATTATTTGAATCAATAAGACTTTTAAGCGAAGACAGCAACAGCACACGTATTAGAACAGTATTGAGCAAATGGATAGAGAACCAAAAGTCACTTATTGATTCCTTTTTCCAAGCTATTCAGAATACGGATCAAAATGTGGACATCAGTGCCAGTGTAAGTGAGGTCATGGAGAAATTGATTAAAAACCTTAGGGAACTGGTGACTTTATTAAGCGATAATGAAAATTTCACAGCAACAGAGATTAGTAGTTCCCAGCCAACTACTAGCACTTATGCCACCACAACTGCCTATCTAACATCAACCACTTTTTTATCAACACATCCTACTGGTGACGACAGATCCAATCAAATTAATATTATTGAGAATTTGATAAAGGGTCTAAAAGAGATGATTATTCAAATAAATGATAAAAACCAATATTCTAGTACTACTTATAGCACAACAGAAAGTACCTATACTCATCCGACTACAACCTGTTCGACACCAGAGGTCACTACTTCACATCCAAATCAAATAATCGACAGAAGTGACAGTAAAATTAAAGATATGTTTAATTTGATTAAAGGTTTAGAAGCGCTTATCAGTCAACTGAATAAGAAACCAAATATTACAAGAACTACCAACTTAAGTGGGGAAAGTTCCTCAACTGGGAGTATTACATCCCATCCAATTACAACCACCAAACCGATAACAGTGACTACTTATTCCCAAACAACTACTTTTAATCTTTATACAACAGAGAGTACGCCTTCCCGTCCAACAACAAACAACCATGAAGTTACAAATCATAATGTTAGCCATAAATTTAAGATTATGGAAAATTTGATCAAGGAACTTAAAGGACTGATTAATCAATTAAGTGGCAAAGAAAATATTACGAGTACCACCTATGCAACAGGAGACAGAAACAGTTCCCAGCCAATCGATACGACTCATTCCTCAACAGAAAGATCTCCGTTCCATCCAGTTACACCTCACACGTCGACAACATCGACGATAAAATCCCAATCAACTATTTCTTACCATTCGTCAACAGAGAGCACCAGTTCTCATCTGAGTACTATTCTTTCTACAACAGGAATCACAAATCCCCATCTAACTATAAACATATATGACTTAAAGGACCAGATTAATGGAGATGAAATTAAAATTCTGAAAGATTTAATTAAGAGACTTTCAGAATTAGTCGATTTATTAAATGATAAGAATGATATAAAGAGTACCACCCAGTTAACTACAGAGAGCACATTTTATAGTTCAATTCCCCCCACCAATTCAACAACAGCCTCATCAACTTTTTCAACAACAGGGAGTACTGCTAACCAGTCGAATAATACACAAATAACAGATACCACATTTCATTTCACTGCAACCACCAATTCAACAATGTTGATCACTGATTCCCATTCTACTACTCCTTACCTTTCGACAACAGAAGCCTCGACTTCCCAATTTAAAGATGGTGAAAATATAAACAGTAGTACACAGTTCACTGCAGAGAGCACTACCACTAATCCTATTTTAACCAACAATCCAACAACAGTCACCACTAATAACCATTCTACTACTTTTAGACATTTAACAACAGAGAATACAGCCTCACATCTTCAACCTTCAGAAACGCTGTCTGCAACGGAGGGTTCTACGACATCTGGGTTGAGCTTATCTCATTCAACTACCACTAGTCAACCAAGAACGCTTGGTTCATATAAAAACAAAATCGAAAACATTGTAGAACTTTTAAGAAAATTACGTAAGATTCAGAAAACTTTAGCCGACAAGTCGAACGGGAAACTTTCGCCCAAGCTTTTATCGAGAGTAAAAGCCGTATTAAAGCAAATCGTTGCGGGCAATGTGGATTCCAGCGATTCAGCGGAGTTGGAAATACTTCTTTCCACAACCGTCACGCCCAATGAAGATATTACGGATTTGACGATGGAAAAATTGTTGGAGTTGTTCGATGATTTGGAAAGAATGTACAAGGTATTGTTGGATGGTAGTACTCAGAGTACTACACAATCCCCAATACAGGACGACCTTTTTTCAACTACACCCACTACAATTTTCCCTACAACACAAAGCACAGCAATCACTTCACCAACACAGAACACCACTACTGCCCTAACAACTCCCAACCCAAATACTTCAACAACAGCACTTTCTTCTACCCCATCCTCAATAAATAATTTGGGAAGTGATGTATCAAATAATCTTCAGCCAATTGTAGACGCAATTCAGCAATTAAAGATGTCATTATATCATGATTTCTATGCTTTTAAAAAATCGCAAGAGGACAGGTATTTTTTTCACAATCTTTAAAACAAAAATTTAATTTATGTTTGGTGTAGAATGGAACAAATTCTCAAACATCTAAGTGGCAAACAATTAGATCGGCGGACAAAAACTATTGCTAAGCCGAGAACCATACGAAACAAAGGTAGTTGGAATATACAACACAGAAACGGCGGAATAAAAGAGGATAATTTGTAAGCATTATATGAATTTAAGCGATAACGATAAGCGAATAATATGTTCCCCCTTCTCTTTTATAAATTAAGCATTTATGTTATACTTATTTTTCGTATTCTATGGTAGGCACCACAACGCTGTCAAATTTAGTCAAAATCGGCAAAAAGGAAATGAAGGAGGTCATATGAAACGTATCCCAAAAATGTTAAATTCAGCAAGTACCAAAATAAAAAAGTTCCCACTTAAACTATCTGGTATTAATCTAAATGAAGGATTAACACATTTGCTTTCCAAACGTAGAACTAATAAACAAGTACTCGTAATGCATGAGATTTTTCCAAAACCTTTATCAATATTGCCACGCAAGTAAGTCTATTTTCAACAATTTTATGTTAAATAATTTATAAACACCATTTAATTTTACAGAGAAACATATTCTAAAATACCATCTTTTGAACCAGAAACGAACACTGTACAATCTTATAAATTACCAATTCTCGACTTTTTTCCGTTTGGACAATAACAATTGGGAATGAGAAATCGTTAAAACAATATAATTATTTATAATAAAGAAAAATGTGAAAATAATGCTGTACTTTGATCTTAATCTCAAATTTCTGGTTCGTATAGTACCAAGATACCAAATGGACTTGTTCTCATCCTGAGCTAAATAAATCGGATCATTCAAAATAATGTGTTGATTGTTTAATTTTAATATAGATCATTTTTATTTTCTTGTAATGACTAACATTTTAAAAAATTACAATTCAGTATTTTGGATAAATTATTTATAAGCATTACATTTGTTTTTATTTTCGGCTTGTGTTTTTCCTTCGTGCTTCTCATCGTCTCCATTTCACACAATATAATTTGTTAGTTTGTTGTTTACAATAAAGTTAAATTTTTTTTTGCATGTTCATTTTCTCAATTTTTATTTTATTTTTTTCTGCTGCTGGTTTGAAATATTTCTTTAATTTGCTGCTTTACTGCTTGCAATTCTTGAGTTTGAATGTATGTAGTCATTAATGTAAAACTTTGTAGTTCTATAATACATACATAATTATATGTATAGATATATATCTTTGAATCACACATACACACGTAGAACTAATGCATATATGTGAGAGGCTGATTGGTATTGTAGTGTCAAATAAGCAAGGTGTTTGCATATAAAAAGAAGGCTCTAATATAAATAAATGTATTTTTACTGTTTAAAGATAAAACCTAAACATGTATTTAGATATACGCCTTCATTCGTTGATAGCTAGAAATGGACGCAGCGAAAGGAAAGTAATCAACAAAATATAAATAATGCAGATTTTTGAGTGCTGAGCTCCAAACTAATATGCGATTAAGTACATTTTTCCGTTTTAGAAAATAAATGTCAAGTTGATTTTATCCTTTCCGTGCACCTTTCTCTTACTTAGATCCTGAAGATTTGATTTATTAATGTGCTTTTATTGCTGTTGTTAGATTTTACATTTAAGCATGTTGTTTATGTTTTAACTACTTTGACAAGCCCTCTACAACCATTTAATGGGGTAATCGGGCCGTTCATAATGAAATATATGCGTATAAGTCTGTTTATATATGCTGTAGGTACAACATTTTTGCTTGGTGTGGGGTGGCGGAATCGAATTGTAAAATAACAATAAATTACATTAATTAATACATACAAATTACACAACTGTTGCCAATACATTTCAATTTGAGATTTGAGGTTTAGTAATAACTGGGGCTGTAACTCAATTTCTCCGTCCATATTTTTGGGTTCTCTGTGGTACTTGGTTTTCGGATTGCTGCCTATCAATTCATATTTGTGTACGCGCTGTTCTACCCGCTTGCATTTTTTTTTGTTTTTGAAAAAATGAACACTTTTTGTCTGGTGGGAATATACATATGGTGTTGGAAATCTATTGCACAGAACATGAATTCTTATGACCATTTTTGTGCTTTAGTCTCGCCTTTGGCTTGTATTTTTCCAAAAAGGACAGCTGCTTGGCATTAATGGCTCCACGTCGTTTACTAAAACAAATTGAGTGTTCATTGAATTGTTATTCATCTTGGCTTTTAATCAACTACTTACTCTCTAATCATTTCCACTGCTGCCTCATACTTTAAGCCCAATTCAATCAGTGCCAAGGCAACAAGGACGGGAGCTCGTCCCAGACCAGCCACACAATGAACAGCAACGCAAGCCTCTGGATTTTGTTGATATCTGTAAGGTACAATTCAAAATGATAGTTCATTGTAAAATTAAAAAAAAAATTATTTTATTTGGAATTTGCTTTTATTGCTTTTGGTCGAATAACTCTAAAACTCTAGGTCTACGCTTACCGACAAGTTTCATTATCAAGAAATGCAGTATTATTATAAATTGCTGATGCTGCCTCGCCAGTATCATTGTGATTATCTTTGGCTGTTAGGGGAATTGTATCTGTGTCCCGACCTGATGCTGCGGATAAACTGGCTCTGGTTGCTGAAGTTCTTATTGCAGTTGCAGTTGCTGTTGTTGGTGGAACTGTTTTTGGTATGTGTCTAAGCGAGAATCGCTTATGTTTGTAGTAGGATAGTGTGGCGCTTGTGGACTTTCTAAAACTAGGGCACAGCAGCAGCGGTATCATAAAATAGCACACGAAACGAATCATATAGGAAGGTAAGGTAAGTTCTCGTTGATCAAGTTTGGTAGCTTACAGGTAGTACAAGTTTTTTATGGAGTGTGGAATTCGAAATTTACAAAACGAAAACGTTGAGAGAAGTATGAAGGAAGGAATGTGCAGAAGTTTTTAGTTAACCAAATTGTATACAGCAACTTATAACTGATAGAAATCATACTAAGCTAGCATCTAAGGCGATAGCGGGAACTACAAGCGGGGTTCTGTACATCTTCAAAATGTTCTTCTTTAATGTGTGTGGAATTTTTGAACAGCTCATCGGATATATGGCTAGCGCAGCGTTTCGATTTTTCTTTGGCGTTTTTATAGTTTGAATTTAATAATATTTGTTTATATTTAGTTTGAGTGGCACAAAGCAACAAATAATACTGAATAAATTGATAAAAATCACTTGAGGTTTGTTTTTTGCAGTCACGTTTAGTTCGATTGTGGTTAATGATATCAGAAATTATTTTCCATAAAATAATTTAATATTACAAATACATATGTCTTAGATAGGAACTTTTGAGCTGGTGGTAGCTTTAAATTTAGCAATCTAATTCGCTTAAAAATAAATGATAATATATTTACAGTGTTGTTATTATAATGTTAATATTATTAATTAATATTAAACGTTAAAACTAACTAAAATAAAGGCTTTTTAATCAAAACCAATTTAAATAATGACTAAATCTATTCGAGCTTCAGTTTTGTTAGGACCAAAAAATTAAAAAAACGCTTAATGTAACAAATGACATAATTTATAAAATAACAATTATCTACGCGAATGCAAGAGCGCTGTTATTGTACTCACTTATCCTTTAAGACCTCAAACCACTCGTCAACGACTTGCTGAGGCGGGAAGGTGCCATCCTCAAAGGCCAGGTCCTTGACAGTAATACCTTGTGTCTCGAGCTCGTCGGTATTATAGCTAGGCTCGCACACGCGCACCACAGTGTTGACATTGTTCTTCTTTAGCTCCTACAAGAACGACATAGAAATGAATGGGGTTTAGGCTAAGATGATTAAGAGACTTACCATAATGTAGTGATTAATGGTTATGTCTGATGGTCGATCGGTGATTAGGAACTTCATGCCCTTGTACTCAATTAGAGCGGGGGCTGGGCGCAGATCTTTTTGACGCATGGTGATGCTCATAAACAATTACAAAAGCTGTTCTGAAGGACTTAATCTGGCTCGTGTGCACTTAAGTAAAGTCTGTTATTTTCTTACAATCTTGAGGTGTGGTTTTTGTTTCGGTTTCACAAAGATTTGATTGGTTTTTAAACGGAAGTATTTTGATTTCTAGATTAAAAATTCAGCGTGTTAGAGGCTTACAATTGAATCTTGTTTAAGTTAGAGTTATGTATAAAAAATAAATATAAATATAATTAACTCTTTTTCGTATCGTATATTAAATGTTTTATACCAAAACACAAACCTAGATTAAGTATCGTTTAAGTAAAATTAGTTCTGTTTTCAATTAAGTACAATTATGGATTTTTCTGCTATCACAAAGAAAATCAATCAACTTTCTTTGACTGAAAAATGGTTCCCCGTTAAGTGTCCCACGTATTTTAAGCTAACAAAAATGATTTGGGCTCAGGTTTTTTGTTAGGTTTCGTTGATAAAAATTTAAATATTTCCCTTCCTGTGATAAATTCTGTGATCACCACGATGCTTCAAAATTTAGTTTTCCTCGTTCTCTACCACAGATTGACAGTCTTTGGCTAATTGGGGCCGCTGCTGTCGCGATGTCAGCTGATCCGTTGACGGTATGATGATGGTCGTATCCACACCACTTATCGATGTCGACTTTCGAAGAGGTGACCGTGTTCACTTAGGCTATCTCCGCCTTTTTGTAGTATTGCTTACCTGCAATGAGTGAGACTAGAATGAGTTTTATTCCAGACAATTCTGGTGCAAGTCGGTTTAAGCTTCTTTCTTGCGACTCCCATTGTTCATTTAATTGAAAACAATTCGTGGGAATCTAAAAAACAATTTAGCTCAATTACACGCAATGAAATAATTGAGACATTCGCCATTTTCGTCGCGCACGACACTCTTGTCCGCGATGTTCTTCGGGGCGGGTCAAGCCGCCAATTGTCCAGAAAGGTCACAGTGCTTTGTTCACAGTAAGTCAAGTGACCTTTCCATCGCCACCCACTGTACCGCCCGTGCCACTTGAGCTAATTAATTAGGCAAAAAGTCCATATACTCACGAAAATCCATACTCACTTTTTATTTGTGCTGTGCCTGGCAGTATTCTGCACTGTCTAGATGAAACTCCATAGATGTGGGAACAGGTCTAACCAACTGCAAAAAGAAATAAAATGTTGAGAAAACATTCGGTACCACATTTAAATGAAATGGAAATTGACAACAAAGCTAGAAATTTATTAGACAGCCATTTGCAATCAACTTATTAAGAGAGACTGAAAATATTTCCAGCTAAAAGCTTTTTGGCCGAAATAAATTCTCATTGTTTACAAAAAATCGATTTGAGGCTTGCTACCAAAAATTTGCATGGAAATGCAAACCGTGAAAAGCTAAATAAAAACAAAACTGTTGTATTACAATTAAAATCATTGAGGGGTTGTGGCTCACGTTGTATGTACCGCATATCTTAAAGTTTGCAAACAGGTGCCGTAAGCACATAAAAATCCCGAGTAGAATACAAATAATTTGAACAGTTTTGGGATTTACCAAATTTTGCAATAATTAAAAGGCAACCTAAATAGTCCATTTAAAAATAAAACACACCGCCTTTATCAACTGAAATTTGTTCTCCGAAAACAAGAGAACAAACGCAAGGAAAATCTTTGAAGTGGATTTAAAATGTATTGGTCGTCTGCTGTCTCAAAAAATATGAAAAATATTCCCTAAAAGCGATCCAAGATAATGTCTGCTCATTTCCACGACCGTTTTACATTATTTATATTCCGCTGATGATCGTGGAAAGCATACATATGTATAAAATTAGTCCACAAATAAATACCGATGCAGAACAATGATTGTATAATATGTATTTCGCATATATACGCGTATATCTACACAAACGCGATAACTCTTTAAGCAAATATTCCATTTTCTATGGCCCCAGTGCGACCTGTGTTTATTTTTGCACTTCTGCCTAAAGTAGGCGAATATTTCGCTTGAGAATTGGCCGATTCCTTCTGGTAAAGGCATTTAGATTATGGTTTGTATTGGGAAATCCATTGTTGAATCGCGAATGATATTGAAACGCGTGAAACTAATTAAAAAGCGGGTGCAAAAGCAAAATATATAGAAGGAACATTTTGTTGGTAAAATTGAAAACTTTCACTTCTTCTGGGCATGTACCTAGTATATACCAGTACATTCTAGATTTGTCAGTCTGTGTGTTTACCTCATGACACGTTAGGCAACAACACTTTTTGTTGATGCTATATTTCCCAGTCTGTTTTTACTTGTGACTTATGCAATGTATTTTTTGTTTTGCGTCTTGGCGAAATAGAAAAGTCACACAAGCAAATATATAGGTAAGAATCTATATGTACATACATAGGAATTTCCCTATGCATTTAAGCAAATACAACGATTAGTTGCTGATTACGACGGTGATATGGTGATATGGATTCCCGATTAGATATCGACAGGTGTTTGCCGGAAGACAATAATCGATTTTATCCGTGGATCGGAGAGCTTTCTTTTCTATCAGTTAATTAAAAACTACTGATAATTTGTCCTCCACTTCCTGTTTTGCCAGCAGGTCAATTGAAATTACCTATCGTTCGTCGCCCGTTATGCGGCGAGATAGAATCTCGATTAAATATCGACAAGTGTCGATTCTGAGACGTTGATCGATTACGATTACCACACTAAGTAGACGCGTATTGCTGCGCGATGAGCACTCTCTCATGTTTTGCTATCGACTGGCGATTGTCAACTCTTCGCCGCCCATTATACGCTACGGAAACGACCGCTCCGTCCGGCAGTAAGTCTCCATTGCCGGAGAGAGCGGAGAGATTCGTGACGCATATCTCTCCAATTGCTCACGCAGAGAGGTTTGCTTTCTGCCCACCTCTCCCCCGCCGAACAAAAAAATATCTTACAGTCTGGTGCATATTTAAAGCACTTTAAAAGGTCTGTTGTGCAAAAACAATAGAGGCAGGATAAATAGAAACCAATTGCTTTGTTAGTTTTACTTCTCTACCTTTATATAAAAATAGCAAAGTTCAATGGAGGGTGAACAGGAAAATGTTGTGCTTACTAAAAATGTATCAGTTTCAAAGTATTTTATTCGGTCCATTAATGATTTCATTATGATTTAATTATAGATTTTACATTTAATTATAGATTTTACATTTAATTATAGATATTACATTTTCACTTCGTCTGTGGAATAATTTTCAAAAATAAGCTGATACCTATAAGTTTGAATATATGTGTAGCTCAGAATAAAATATACTAATGTAACAGAGTTATTTTCACATTACCTAGCGAACACTTTTATTTATGACCCACACAAATTATACATTTGTTTAATGGTTTGGTATTTAAAAATACGTGAGTAGATAAAATCCGTAGGATACTCAAATATTAGACTCTAATCTATATGGTAACTTTTTTAAATACAAAAATTATTGATAAGATCTAAAATATATGATTTTTATCAGTCTGGCTACCTGACTTTCAAAGCATACAAACCGCAGCTAAGGGAAGTTTCGCAGGCAGATTATAACTTTTACGGGATGCCAAGGTCAGTCGTTATTTAAGGGCAATAAACAAAGCTAAATGCGGCTTATAATATGCACAGTTAATGAAGGCTACAGCGCACACAAACGTGTAACTTAATATGAAATTAGTCTTACGTTTAAACCAGTTGAATATAATCAAGATGTAGGCAAATGGCATGACGACACTAATACCAAATTGCGGCTTTATTGTTACTTGTTATATACAAATGTACGTATTTGTTCCACTTGAATGCTCCTCGCCACATACACAGATTTCCAAATACATACACTTTTCAAATCTGAGGTAGTACATCCTAATACATATTTTGGGAAATCAAACATTTGATTGCTCGTCTATTCACAAATGTATATCAACCTAAAGATATCCCTGCAATAAGGCAAAGCTTCTTTATACTCTATTGTATATTCGCCAAATATTCTTTTTTCCCTGCGAGATACCAGATGGTTTCGTCTGCGCCGAAAGTTGATTGGACTTTCTCCGAAAAGGACAAGACAACTTATACAGAGGGAGTCTGGAAACAAAGAACAAGGAACCGTTGAAGTCTGGAGGTATGAAAGAAGACACCATTGAATGCCGGTGTGTCTGAGTTTGGATTCGGGGTTCAAAGTACTTCGATTCCCTTCAGTTCCCTTATTTTTTTGGCCTCATTCAGGTTTTTGTTCGTACTTAGACTTCGACTGCAATTCTGGCAAACAAGACTGGCCGATTTTCGCGAGTAATCGCTTCCTTGCAAAAGCAGGAGTAATAGGTTGTAAACAAATTGAAAATGACTAACGGTCGGGAAATGTGATGAGGGTAACTGCCACTCAAGCCTCAACTTACTAAGCTAATGCTGTCTACAGGTCTCAATAAAACCAGAGACATGCCCCGAAAAAGCCAGACACAACGCAGACGCTACAAATACATTAAATTGATTTGGACACCTATGTATAAACGTTAGGCCTATTTTTCCAAATACTAGGCACCACTACACGCCGCAGAATACTGGTAGACTAAACATAAACAAAATAGTTCACCAAAAACAAAGTACACTAAAAATTGTGTGCTTCGATCAATGGACTCTTAAAGGAATATCAATAATAATTATAAATGACTTAAGATCAATATATGGAGTGCATCCCAAGAATCTTAAAGGAAATTTATAATCAATAAAGATTGCCTTAGAACTTAGCATGAACAACGTGCATGAACTTCCATGAGGAGAACCAACCCATTAGACTTGGCTAAGTTTTGTTCACCTTAGATATTCGCGGCACGCTTTCATATCTAGAAAGTATGGGTATTAGGAGCGCAAGTCAAACAAATAGACAGCAAAAAAACAGAGCCACACTGCTTTGCTCCGTGCACCGCAAGCGACTTGAAATGAGACTGAGACCGAGCTCGAGTTATTGATTTTGCGACTACTAATGGACGAGAAGCGATGTCCAAGCCCCAACACCATCTCCCCCCATCAGCGATTTCGTTATTTCGCCATAATGGAAATTTTGAGTTCGCCCCGAGGCTTCCTGAGTGCAGCGGTCAGGAGGAGATGGGCAGGAAGTGGCGGCCACGGGTGTAACTAGGATCTCAAACCGTCTTTCAGTTGCCAAGTGGTCGCAATTGTTTTTCGTGACGCACCAGGCGGTGGCTTCTCATGCGTCATCAACGGCTTTTAATCGGAAAACAGCTGTTCTTGTTTGGCTTTGATAAAATGCAAGCAAAACAAAAATAAATAACAATTCTGTCTTGTTATTGCAATTATCAATTGCATGTCTTCTGCCACAAATTGCAGATCCTTCAAGGTTGATGTATAGATAGATGTAAGGAGTACACCAGTAAAATGCCATTTCGCTGGTTAGTTTTTGGGGAACTGTGCCTTCACCAAGGGCAGGCCAATACTATTGGGGACAAACAGCGCCGCATTTATCGCACTATATATAGAATCCGGGGTGGTCGGTGGTGTGTGAGCGGTGACTTTTCCCCCCTTTTTCCACCAATCTACCACCCTACACCGCCCACTGACGTTTGTAAATCGTATTGCATGCTTTGTTGTTTGCTTTTTGGTCTATTTTTGGATATGACATGTATTGGTGAAATTCTGCACACAAGCTGCCAAAACGTGACAGCAGTAAAAATACAGCACAATGATATATAACCAGGAAAAATAACTAAAAAACTTTGCAACTCCCATTTCTAATTAGCGAGTTCTTAAGTTCTCAACAAATGTGCAATGTGTGTATTTAATAAGTCAGCAGGAGAATTCTAGCTGCGGTTCATTCAAGATGTTCTGATAAGATGTTCCCAGTAAATTGCACTAAATCAAAATGACCTCAAACAAATTGCTGGAAGCACTTTAATGATCGAACGTATTGCCACACAATTCGAGGAATTCAATTGATGTTCGATTGTGTGCGTGGGAATATAGAATATTTTAAGAACTGGCGGAAAGCAGATAAACCCAGACAACAAAATTCAAACAGCTGGAATACGAAATAACCAAGAAGCGTATACGTAATCTCTATCCCGAGTTGAGAGACATGTACTCTTGTGATAAGCGAATGAAATTTAATGCAATGTTCGATAGGTAATCAATCTTAAAGAATATACATATGTACATATATGTGTTTAAAAGGAACGTTACTCTACTAAATAATTGCGTTTTGGTAAGGTGTGTCAAGTGATGACGTATTTTTGTATAATATCGTTTGGTTTAGTTTTGATAAAGCCAAACCGGATTTTTTAAATGGCTGATACTCTTATCTTTTCGCTCTTGTTTTATCATGGATAAATAAAAAGAGAGAATGAAACTGAATGAGATTTTTTTTTTTTTCCTTTTTTTTGTTTGTATTGCCGGGCCGGGGCAATATCATTGAACTTGTTCAAGGACAAGAGACCCCAAACGGAAATAAAAGGGAGAGCACAAGAAATCTGACAAGAGAACTGGTTGAATAATGGATATTGTTAGGGTTTTCAACCACCGGTTGGTAAATATATAAAATTCCTGTGCGTTCAGTTGCCGGGTACTATTCGCCTTTCAATTCCAATTGACGCAATTTACTGATATCGATTAGCAAACAGTGCGATCAAGATAAACACAGGTAGATAAATGCGAAAACTCGAGATAAGAGCAAATCACAGCCAAACCTTGTTGAGTAACTGATTGTAAAATTAAAAGCTACGAAGAAAGGCAATCTTTGCACTACCACTTTGCTACGTCCACATTTGCTCAGTATAAAATGCCAACTGATTTGGCTATTTCGTTTAAAATCCATTTCTCTTGCCCATGTCTTTTGTTTACTGTTTGCTCTCGCGCTTTGATATGATATAAATCTGCCTGAAATGTCTTCAACAGATTAGATATTAGATAAATCTACGTGTATGTACCAAGCAAATGGCGTATGAAGATGATAAAAACTGCCAAAAATTATGGAAGCAAACTTCACTGGTGCAGTGCAAAATAGTTTTTGTCCCGTCCTATTTTAATTCGGATGATAAAACTGGGTCAGCTGACATCTACTTTCAACTGGAGAGGGCAGTTAACCAGGTAACTGGGTCAAATGAAAGTAAAATGCGTGAAGTTACCCCTTTAATGAAGTATATGATTGCTGTGTATGATAACAAATAGGACATTACTTTACTTATCGTTTTATGTAAGTAAACACAGCAAAATGTTGCCTCCCTTTACAACTTTGATAGCGAAGAAAAGAATATTATTCAAAGCAATCACAGGGTACTATTAGTATTTCGAGTAAGGAACATGAAAAGTTCATATGCTAAGTACTTATTAAAATACCCTTATTTTATTTATAAATGTTTATGTTTATAAATTTCTGTTTCTCTTACCAAATGGCGTGATATATTATGTTTTAAAATAATTGTATTTGCACAGAAAAATATAAATGTAAATGGTTTGTAAATTTGAACACAACAAAAAATGGTAATACCAATTACCAATTAAAACCCGAAATTATTTTTAGGACTATATTTCAAATAGAAAAACACAAAACCCAGTTAAAAATGTTAAACCGAAAGATTTTTAATGTAAACGCCAACGCACAGAAGCTCACATACTTGGTGGCTCAGTATTTGTATGTGTGCTCGCTGACGCTCGGAGCAATTTATGCAACAAAAAAGTATTATTTAAATACTTGCGGTTTTAGCCGATCCCCTTCCACACTTACCACAATTGCCATACACATTTGAGTATAACTTTGAAGCTTTTTCGTTGCTTTTCGTGCACGAGAAAATTGAATTCACGTCCACACGCACACACAGACGCACCGCGAGACTCACACCGACACGATTTCCACGAATGCAATTGTGTGTGTTTCTTTCACTGCACAACTATTGCTCTTATTGCAACTGTAAATTGACTGTATCTTTACTGTAAGTGTTTTCTATGGAATAGGATTGGTAAACGTTGGTTTTTCGGCGACATTAACGCAAAATTCGTCTGCAGCTTAACCTCAAATTCCTTTGTCTCTTCACACGCACGCACACACTGTCAGCGCGGGGCGGAACCAACGGTATAAAATAAAACAATTAATTTAACTTGAATTAATCGGACGAAAATAATATGTGTAGTTTCCAGCACGAATTGCACAATTTTCTCTACCGATTTCCAAGAGCAAAGTACTTGTAATCGAAGTAGGCGTTGCGAACAATTCGGTCGTTTGTGTTAGTAGTCACCGATGGTGATTATATACTCAAATATTCGATACGACCGATAGTTTCGTATTCCATTTAGTATTTTAATAAACCTATCTTACGATGTTTAATCGATAATGGTTATAATCGATATTTGTTTATTTTTTATTTATATATCTTGAAATTGTTTTTCAAACGCAGATTGTGTATTTTTCATCAAATATGGTAGTTATATACATTACATATGGATTTTATATATATATTATATTATATGTATAAGCAAAAATTTGTTTGCAAAAGCAACAAAACGCCGACTAACTAATAAAATAATATACTTATAAAACACATTTAGTTTTATTATTACTCGAACAGGTCTCCTTATCTTGATTTTAGTCCTGCACGTTCCGAGAATATCCCAATTAAAATGCTCTCTACAGAGAAGAACTACCCTATTATTTATGTACATTGCATCGCAAAGCAAGCGACGATCTGAATAAGTCATCTTATCTCTTGGCAACAAAAGTGACGATCATAGCCCAACGATTTTAAACTCTTTACTTCGAAGAACCTTAAATCGCCGAATTATCCTGAGGGGAATGTCCAAGCGAAAGGCCGAGGACGGACAATCCGACAAAATGGCAACAGCCGAGAAAGTAGCACAGGTAATGTAATATAACTATACACAATATACCAAAATAGTTTACTAACAATAACAACTATTACCTCGACAGAATGATTTTACCATTGGCTTGGTGGATCCCGTCAAGGATTACCAAAAGCTCATAGAAACACGCGTACAGGTAGACGAAATCGTCGATGATGATGTCACCAAGGAGAATTTCGATCGAACGGCTGCATCAGCGCGTGACGTCATCTGGCGGCTGATATTCGACGAGGCCGGTACCTCGCAATCAAACACAGAGAAGGCCAGCCAATTGCTGGAGGAATACCGTGGTGACGCCTGCTTCTACGACCCGACGCCCTACAACGAATGGATTGTCAAACTAAGGGATGAGGTCCTGAAGAGGGAGCTCCTTGACTTTTGGCGTGATGTCCTGGTGAAGAAGCAACTGGGTCCTTGTTGGTCACGCGACTGTGATCTCTTCGACAGCGACGACACCCCGCCATTGGAGTTCTACGCCCATGCCGGATGTACTGCTCCATTTGCAGCCAGCTTAAAGGTGCGCGCTGCACTGGACCAGCAGGCTTCACTGGATCAGGATGAGGCAGCGGTGTCCACCACACCGGGTGAACTGAGTGCCGATGATGCCGCCGCCCTGTCTGGTGAATTCGAGGCAGCTCTAACAAAGGGAAATCCTCTCGAGGAATACCGATCGCTAATGAAGCGCTTTGTCCTGACCAAAATAATCGTACCGGATAGCGTTCACCAGGCCAGCGTGAAGAAGATTGCGGCAGCCGCCAGGGAGATCATCTGGAAGCTGCTCTTTGATGGCACACCCTCGATAGAAGATCAAAACAAGGCCGCCGATCTGCTGCAGGAGTACAAGGGTGATGCTGGTTTCTATGGACCGGATGATTACAACGAATGGATTTTCAAGCTGAGGGATGAGGTTCTTACCAAAGAGCTTCTCGACTTTTGGCGCGATAAGATGGTGAAAATGGAACTGGGTCCCAGTTGCGCCCGTGATTCCGACTATTATGACAACGAGGATCCCCTGCCATTGGAGTTTTACGAAAAGGCCGGTTGCAAGGCTCCCTTTGAAGCCGATTTAAATGATGATGTTTAGTACAGCATCAGAAATTTATTTTTTATAACTCAAGCATTGTATTCAGGTCCAAACACGAGTTCGATGCCTTTTCGGGAAACCTTACTTTATGAAAAAACTTACTCTCATGTACTAAATCACCGATTCTGCACAGAATCTCCGAAAGCACAAAATTTGAATCTGAATTGTATTCCAAAATGTCAGAAATTGTTAAACAAAAATAAATAAAATAAGCCTCTTTTATAGCTGTTCACGAAAATAATTGTCCTTTTTATTTTTGATTGGTATCAAAAAATATTTGTTTTCTTCATATTTATTAAGTAGTTTAAAGCATTGGAAAATCTGTGAAATATAAACATATAACATATATATTTAATGATTAGGGAATTATTTTCTTCATTATCACCTTCCATTAATTAAAAACTTGTATCACCATTTTTTTTGTTAATATTTTAAGAGTCTTATATCTTCTGTTTTATTTAAACTAATTCATCCTCAAACTTTTAAATTGTAAATTTAATGCTTGTTTTTAGATACTTATAAAAAAAAGTTGACTGATATAGGTGTAAATAAATAAATAGTTTCAGCATAGTTTGTAATTTTCTTTGGAGTTCTTAAATCTAAAAGTGAAGTTATTATGCTTAAAGATTTAATACATTTTCTTTACATAATCAAATCGATTTGGTTTATTAACACTAAAATGAAACACGAAATACTTTCTTAAAATAACTTTTAAATTCCGAACACAAAAATAAACTATAATTAATTTTGAAACTCTCACATTCACTGACTAGAGAACATTTATCCATTTTCTGTTCTTGTTCCCATATTTGGTGGTTCTGCTTTGGTCTTTGTGTACACATAACGCAAAATATAATCCAAAATCAGGAACTAAATAAATCTAAAGTGCTTTCACAACATTTGAACAACGCAACAAAAAATGAACTTAAAAATTTGGGTCCTTAAGTAATACAAATTATTCTGACTAAGAGTGAGCAGCCATCGGTTCTCATTGAGATCTCTGTGAGCTTATGGCAGGCGGATCGGTTCGTTAATTATATCTATAGCCTGAAAACATCATCACTCGGCGTAGAGCAGTCGAGATCGTGACTTTCGGAGGCCCCGAGAGCCTCCACCGCCGATCCCACTGTCGCCACCCTCGCCACACTGCCAGGACTTGGTCTTGGCCCGAAAATATCGGAACTCATCATTGTGCGCCGGGGCCAGCATTGGCACATATTGGCTGGGCTGGCACAGCTGCGAGTAGAGGCCGAAGAACTCCTTGTACCCATTATGCAGGATATAAAGTTCAGGATAGTCCAGTGCCGGATAGTTGTGGGCATGTTGACTTCTGTCGTTGCTGCGCAGGAAGCGCAATAGCTTGGGACCCCGTTCCGACGAGAACTCACAGTGGAACACATAGATGCGACGATCTTCCTGATTGGAGGTCAGCGTGGGGAACGCCTCCTGTATCTGTCCACGTGTGTACAAATTCTTGGCCCCATGTATGTGCCCGCCAAGGAATTCGTAAGGATATCGGCAGTCTATGATCTCGTAGCCGCCCTGGCTACCCAATTGATCATCAAACTCGCCCTGAATCAATCTGGCCAACGTGTCACTGGAGATGGTCTTTAGATCACGGTGTCTAATGCCTGTCACCAAACAGGGCAGAGTACATGGTTTGCTGAGATCTCCTATTAACTCTGGTTCATCACCCAGTGCGCTCATAATCTCGGCATCGTTCATTGAGAGGGTTTTCCGTTGCAGCTGTTTGATGGGCATGTTGGTCTCCTGATCCTGTGTTTGAACCGGTTCCTCGGTTTGTTCACTAGGATACATGCTTAAGCAGCGACGCAGAGAACCTTTTTTGTTGGACGACTCCTCTGAATTACTTTCCGACTTTAGCTGTCCGCTGAGGAGCACTTCCAAGTCATCGGGCAACTCAAGATTGTTATTCTCGCTTGATTCCATTTCGAACATGGCCATATACTCATCATCTAGAGAGTTGCCCGACTCGTAACTCGAGCAGGAGCTACTGAAGCTGCTGAGGGTTCGCGAGGACTGGCTATTAAAGGTATTTAGGATCCTGGTGGTTGGGGCTCTCTGGGTGGACTTGGGAGTGCCATCCAGGCGGGCTCCCTGCATATTCTGCGACAATTCGGTGATGGGCGATAGAATGGCGCTGGCGACAACATGACGCTTGAGCATCCTTTGCAAAGGGGTCTCCTGCACGGCTGACTTACGTCTCTTGGCCTGGTATACGACATCAGCATCATGTGGATCTAAATTCTCCTGACCACACGCTCCAATTTCCTCATCTTCTTCCTCCAAATCGAGCATCAGCCGCTTGCTGGCCATCTGCGAGTTAAAAAACAAAGTTTTTCCATCAGCTGTAAACCGCCAAAATCAGCTGGATTTACTGAATTGTACTTACCCGGGATATATTTGCGCTATGCGTAACTATTGGGAAGTCCAGACTTTGGGTTTCAGCGTGTCTTGTGATTTTGATTGCCAAATCCTTGGCGTTTTTCTTGTTCTGGCCACTTTCGCTTTCGTTTCGCTTTTGCCGGTCAACTTTATTGGCGCCTTTATCAATTCCCCATTCTTTCCGTACAAACTCACCACTTGCTAACTCACCACTGCGCCATATAAAAACAGCGCGCTTTCGTTTGAATTTATATTGTTTGTTTAATTGTTTGAGGTATTCGCATGGCTGGTTTAACTATATATGTGAAAAATCAATGAAATGCTGTTCATTTGTGTAATTTAAAATGCTCAGCCCTCTTAATAATAATGTTTTGTATATCAATATATTTACAAAACGTTCATCGGGTGATACGTTTAAAATGGGGTAATACGCAACAAAGAATTAATAAGTATGCTAGTAAGAATTAATTAGTTCAAAAGTGTTATTACCAGTGTTATTATTTTATTCATTAGAAAATTCAAAAAGAGCGTTTCTCCTTTATTACATCTGGTCACACTACTCGTTTGTTTATATTTTTCATGCAATAATTGTTTATGGAAATATGCCGGCATTCGAGAACTTTAATGTAAAAACCACAATTGACTGCAAGCAAGGAGCAGTGCGAGCTGTGCGCTATAATGGTGAGTGGATTCCTGTGCATATATATACTCTATTTAAACTTATATTTTTATCAGTTGATGGCACTTATTGCTTGAGCTGTGGATCTGACAAGAAGATAAAGCTGTGGAATCCGGTTTCAGGATTACTTCTAAAGACTTATGGTGGTCATGCGGATGAAGTCACTGATGCGGCGGTATAGTCTTATATATTATTTACCTGAAATGTTCAGTAATCTTGCTCGGCATATTGCAGGGAAGCTGTGATAGTAGCTACATTGTTTCCGCCAGCTTAGACAAGAGCATAATTTACTGGGATGTGTCCACAGGTGAGTTTTTAGGCATTTTTCAATTCGGTTTGAAAGAGCACCAATCATTGCTAATGTCCCGTCTGATTTAGGAGCTCCAGTACGGCGACTACGCAGCCACGCCGGCGGTGTAAGATGCGTCTGCTTCAACGAGGACTCCTCCATAGCCATTTCCGGGGGTCGGGATAATGCCGTGATGTGCTGGGACATTCGAACGCGTCGCCTGGATCCCGTTCAGGTGATGAAGGAGGCTCGGGACTGCATTACCACTGTGGCAACCAACGAGAATCGCATCTACGCTGCCTCTTTGGACGGATGTGTAAGAACCTACGATATTCGGGTGGGCGAACTAACCTGCGACAAGGTTGGTGAGCCCATCACTTATCTGGCGCAGACGAGTGACGAGCAATGTCTGGTGGCCGGCTGTCAGGATAGTGTGGTGCGACTGCTGGACTGTGAGACTGGGGGATTACTCTTCGAGTACAGGGGTCATCGCGGCGATGACTATCACATTGAGTGCGGAATACTGTCAAACGATGCTCATATAGTCACGGGCTCTAGTGATGGAGACGCCTTTGTTTACGACTTGCTCGAAGGAAAAATACTGCAGCGCATTCGCATAAGTAATTATAAATGGTTCAACTCTGTTAACTTTATATTAACTTATTGGTTTTCCTTGTCATATCAAACAGGTGATAATGGCGGTGTCGTCCACTCATTAGCCACTCATCCCAAGCGACAGGAAATGCTTTTCGCGAGACGTCGGGACATGTATGTCTTCTCAACAGATTTGCAAATCGAAGAGGAGCAATTATAAGTTATAATGCCGTATAGTTTTAACAAAAGCTAGTGATGTAAATAATATATTAAGTTGATATTTATGTTATTATCAAAACATGAAGACTTAAGCCTTCATAAAAAAACCGCCAAATTAAAAATGTATTGTTTTGTTGAGGGAAAAAGGAAAAACCATTTATTTGACATAATTTTTTGTTTTCATAGAGCATGAATGTATGTAGTAATATGTGTTTGTTTTGTTTATGATCCGGCTTATATATTCTTCACGGTTTCTTTTCCTTTAACTATGAACGGCCTGCATAATTTTTCCTTAATCAAATATTTCGAATGCGGACGAGTGGGCGAGCAGGCGTGGTTGACAAAATGTGGCTGCCTACATGCATTGGCTGTATCCTTCATCATTCTCATAGTCTCTCTCCTTGTGGGGGAAATGCGGACGCCTAGCCGCGGCAACGCTGCGCGAAGAAGAGTTTCTTCAATTCGAATCGGGTCTCTACAGTGGCGCCCGAGCAGGGACACTTGGTGTCCTAGCTGGCAGCTATAAGACGTTTTGAATAAAGTTAAGAAACTGAAATTGCACAGCGCAGACGCAGCTTGGCGAAGGGAGACAGCCGCTGCATTGGCCTCTAAAGCTCAGCTCACACGTGCGCATTCTTTTGTTGAAGTGGGGGGTGGTGTTGTGGGTGGGGGTAAATGGGATCGAGGGATTCCTGGTCAAACTATCTGAACCTGTCGTACTTATGTTACTAAAGCATATTAAATATGTATGCAAAGTATTTGTTTATGGTAGTTTAGTAGTAATATTATGTAATGTTCCGTTACTTATGTTCGTATGTACGCTGCATGTATTATTTATATATGTTGTGGTAGGTATGCGTAATTTGTATATAATTTATATTTATATATTTATATAATAGTTTATATAATAAACGATTTTCACTTGCTTTTTAATTTTGTTTTTCGTTTTACATTTTTTATCTTTTCCTTTAGAATGTTATAATTTTTTTTGTTTTTGTTTTCGTTTTTTCTTGCTTTCTTTTCTTTTTGCTTTGTTTAATGTTTACCACCT